ACTGCATGTTGAATTTTATACAATATTCTTCCCCAAACTCTGAAAGAAAATTCAATTGTTTTTTAATATCACGCTATTGAACTAGTAAAATCTGTAGGTACTGATTGTTATATACAGGATCCTCGAAAAAAAGTGTACCCGATTGAAGTATTAATGAAGAGTTGTAATCGAAACTAACCGTATAATACAGACAAAATGTTTGGGGTTTTATTATCATCTGACCTTGAAGTTGTAAGTGTGTGAGAAGCAATCGCTATAAATACTGAAAACGCAATTAATTTTTCTAGAAGAAGTAAGCATATTTGTCTGAAATTACTCTCTTTTAATCCAGTAAACATTACATTCGATTAATGGGTTTCCATATAAGGAAACTTTTAACTTGGCCTTGATCTCACACCTGAATATCATCATCACCTTGATACGCAACGTTTAAAGGGTGAGTAAACTGTGTGGACTTTGACCGGGAACTGGACTTGAATGGCTAGAGATGGACTTTGACCGTTCGGCAACCTTTAGACTTTACTCGAATCCTTAGACTTTGACCGGAAACCTACTTTTAGATTTTAAACGGCAGGGAATTTGTCTGACAACCTTTAGACTTACATTAGCGTATAATGGACTTTGACCAGTCAGCAACTTGGATTTTGAACAGCAGAGAAAGGACTTTGAGCGGTCCGTAATCTATGGACTTTGATCGATTTGTACTTTGAACAGTGTGGATTTTGATCGATAGCTTGATCTAATTTCCAAAAGACCAGCGGAAATAACGTCATAATACAGACAAAATATTGGATAATCGTCATTGGTCTGACCTTGAAGTGTGTGCGCACAGCCGTGACTAGTGTACAGTGATATCGCGCTGTATATCCCAATAATGTGTCCTTGAACTCACCTGTAGCTTATTTAAACGATCAAATGGTTGAATGTAAAATTTACGCCGCAAGAAATAGGACCTTATCAATGGAATGTGACTTTGAATAGTGACGAGAGAGCAGTGCGAACAATCAAATTTCAAATTAAGATTACTTAATTTACTCGAAGCAAGTAGAGCCAATTCGATCCAAATACCATTACCAAATAAACCCTACTCTAATAAAAATGCTCTCCATAATTACTTAAAAATGTAATTAATTTTTCTAGAAGAGTTAAAGTTGCCAGTTTTGTAGGAAATTACTCTCCATCAATCCAATATACAACACATTCGTTTAATGGGGCTTCCATAGGAAACTTTTAAGTTGACCTTGATCCAACACCTGAATATCATCATCACCTTGATAAGCAACGTTTAAACGTTGAGCAAACTGTGTGGACTTTGATCGGTAACAATCTTTTGGACTTTACACTAACCTTCGGACTTGAATGGCAAACAATGGACTTTGGATGTTCGATAACCTTTAGACTTTACACGAATCCGTGGACTTTGACCGGAAACGAACCTTTAGACTTTGAACAGCTGCTAATGGACTTTGACCGACTTAGAACAGGTGTTGACCGGTCAGCAATCTTTGGACTTTACCCTATCGACAACCTTTTGACTTTGAACAGCTGGTGGACTTTGATCGATAGCTTGGCCTACTTTTCCAATGGAATTTGACCGGTCAGCAACCTTTGGGTTTTGAACAGCGGAGAATGGACTTTGTCCTGAGCGTGCGCATGCATCATTTTAACACACAACCTTAATCAGTTAGTTGGACTTTGAACGATTTAGAACAGGTATGTAATGGAATTTGATCGGTCAGCAACCTTTCTACCTTGAACAACGGAGAATGGACTTTGAACAGTGTGGACTTTGATCGGCAGCTTGCCCTACTTTGATCTGACCTTGAAATGTGCGCATGCGTCATTTTAACGCACAACCAAGTCCTGTCAGTCTTCTTCCAGATCGTGGTGAGTGTACAGGCGAAGTGATATGTGTCTTGTGCAATGACGTGTTTGTGTAAGAGGCTGTGAACCTGTACGGATTATCGCCTTGATGACTGTGGAGCAAATTAAGGTAAGTAAGAGTAAAATTAAATCCTCCCGGACCAATTGACAAAATAACCCCCCCAGTGGGGCCAACCCCCGAAATACCCCAGGGTCACAACCCAGTACCAACTACCGAAATACCACCAATTGCCAAGATTTGATCTTACACCCCGGACCAATTGCCAAAATTTGACATTACACCCCGGGCCAATTGCCAAAATTGGACTTTGCACCCCCTGGGCCAATTGCCAAATTTGATCTTGCAGCCCCCCCGGGACCGATTGCCAAAATTTGACCCCTGGGCCAGTTGCCGAAATTTGACCCGGGACAATTGCCGAAATTTGACCCCCGGGCCAATTCCCGAAATTTGACCCCGGGCCAATTGCCGAAATTTGACCCGGACCAACTGCCAAAATTTGACCCGGGCCAACTGACCAAAATTTGGCCCGGACCAACTGCCCAAAATTTGGCCCGGGCCAAATGCCCAAAATTTGGCCCGGGCCAACTGCCGAAATTTGCCGAAATATTTTCCCACGGTCTCCAGAATTTTCCCACACTCGGGTACCGCTATACCTACTAGCTTCCTTCGCATACGACACATGTTTTACAGCCATTGGATGTAGGTAACTATATTTGGCCCTTTTAAAACTGATTGGGATAAAAAGCTTGTTAAGTGGCAGCGTCAAAACCCAAGGAAACGAATTCCAAAACGAGAATTTGTTGAGTTACTTAATACAGTGTATAGTGATATACCCGTAGACATTATTTAAAAAAGGCTTCAAATCGACCGGAATATACGACGACTGCCATCGAGAAACTTTCTCACATCCAGTAAACCGAGGCGTCATTAAAGAATCTATATTTAAGCCAGACGATTTAAAAAGGTACAAACAGAAAGCCCAGGACGCTAGAGATCTGCCTGAAGCCCAGGAACAAAATGCAGAACATGTAACTGCTGATTGTAGACGATGTACGACCTTTGGTTTTTAATATTCCTAAATTGTTGTGTAATTATATATTAATAGCTGTGTCTGCGCGAGTACATAAGCACCTACATTACACATACTTTGAAATCTTATGGTCTATTTTTTAGTACCCTTCACTTATAGTGAAATATACCCATCACGAATTACTAAATGACTATTGAGAACCGCTGACTCTTAGATAGGTAAAGACCAATTGTTCTATTATTTCCAAGCTCTCATAAGAAATGTGTTTAAGCAATTTTCACCCGTATGGAACTGGTGTATTTAACTACAAATTAAATACACGTTTCGGTCGACATATAATTAGGGTTCGCCTTGCGACTTAATGAGAAATGTAACATCGGCTAGTGGATAGACTATACATGTATTTTTTTATGTAGTACATATGCTTAAATTGGTACCTAATAATCTGGCAAAATTGGGACAATTTGAGAATGGTAATGGAGATTCTATCAGTTGGATATTGTCAAATTGTCATAAAATACAGGAATCCGAGGGTTTATATTCAGGCAATAAGCTTCGAAAAAAACATATGGAGTACAAAAAACAAATTATGAAGGTAAATTTGGCGGCACAAACACTGAGCAATAGTGTGGCTGATGCCCTGGAGTTTTTAGCCATCGATTTACAACATCCAGACTTTCAAAATTTACAAGCAACTGTTGAATTTATTAGAATTATCGATAAATTGTTCGACTTGCACAATTCTCGAAATCCGTTTAGGCAAGGCTATAAAACTCCACTCCAAAAGGAAAATGAGGATTATTGGAAACCATTTTTGCAACAAGAAAATTGATTTCTTAAAAAATTGTACTTTGTCAGGACAGTTTTTGTGGCGGACAAGAAATTGTACTCCATTTATTGGTCTAATTGTTTCAGCAACCTCCGCATTGTGCATATGCAATGAAGAAGTTGTACAAAATGAAAATTTACAATTTCTGTTAATGTATAAATTCAGCCAAGATCATTTGGAACTACTGTTTTGCAATATAAAGTAAAAATTTTTATTTATTATAAATAATTTTTACTTATTATTTATGAAATAATATTTTCCAGATCTAGAAATGGTTGGGTCACAAATCCAACCTGCCTTCAATTCACTCATACATACAAGAGAATATTAATGCATAACACTCTTTGTGATTTTTCTGGAAATTGTATTGCACAAGATAAAACAGAATATTTAACCATATCTAATACTGTTAATACGGATACGATCACAGACATTAATCACAATCGTGTGTCGGAAGCAGTTGGATGAAGATATTAACATACTCTTTCCGCTTCAACTTAGTGAATATGCCGAAAATGTAGTATGTTACATATCAGGTTATGCCGTCCTACAGCGTACAACAAATTTGTCTGAATATTGAAAAGAAGATACAGCAAACATATAAATTATGTGAAAACAAGCTGCCAAGGCAAACAGTTCTAATTGATATTTTATTAAGAGAAACTGGGAAGTTTTTAAGTAATTCTCTATTATTTCCAAAATTAGAAAATCATTCATTTGACACTTGTACTGGTGAAACTCTACATAAACACAAGTTAATAATAAGTTATGCAAAAATTCGGGTAAATAGTTTATCCAAGCCACGGATGTATAATATAGAGAGGTGATCCGGCGGCCGCTCATCGCGTGGTTCATTTATGTCGTCTGCTAAGTTAGACAAGGACAGACAACTAGATTGGCGCGGCCTCGGGCGCGGCAGTTAAAGATTTACAATTTGAAATCACGTCAGTTGGTAGGTTTTTCTTTACAAGGACCGGAAAACATTATTTTTTATGCTAAGAATTCAGTGTAATACAGAAACTAAATATTTATTTTCTAAAACAATATGCACTTATGAAATTTGTAACTTTGATTTTTTCTTATTTATTGCAGACATCTTTCTATGTTTTCCTTGCTCTTGTCTGTAATATTGTTTAACTCGCATGCAGGTATAGTAATAAACCGCTTTAGCTATTACATCGTCCCGATGTTCTTGACACTGAAATTGTATTAGTTTGTTTTCGTGAACTGAAAAAAAATCCAGTGTATTGTCGAAGACATCAACAGAGTCGATATGTTTAAACATCACACTTTCTAACTTCTTTAATAAATTATGAATAGGTTTATTGGGATGATTCAGCCATCCTCGAGATTTTAATTCAACTAACTCAGCTTCGGGAGCTAAAACATGAGTAGGTTTGGGATTATACAGCAGCTCCCGACAAAATTTGCAGCTTGATTCTCGATATAGCTTTTTACAAATAAAACCAGTTAAGTAATAAATAATGCAATCTAGTGTTTCAGGTATATCGACATCGTAAATAGGTGCCACGGTGTCTTCAGAATCCTCCCAAAATTCTCCTTCAAGAAGCCCATCTAATTTACCCTTGATTTTTTCAATATGCTGAGCTTTGTTAGCAGAGTCATTGTCACAAAAGATAGCTTTAAAATTTGTAATAGACAGCACCGTGTTTTGTGATTCGTCTTCGTCATTCGTGCAATTGCCAAATTTTGGAGGTTTCAGCAGCTTATAAGTCTATAATAAACGATATACATGCATAAACGTCACCATTGTAGGGTGATCATTATCACAACCAGCTTGTCTAATTGTTCCAAAAAAACGCTGCAATTTAAATACATTACCTACGTACACAATCAAGCAAAAAACCTGTACCTCTAAGGGATCTTGATTCATTTTGCTAGTAAGCACATAACTGAATGTTCGCGTTTTCAGAAGATAATTGCACAAATCCATAGTAGATGAAATAGTCACACGAAGACCTTCAGCAGTGGAGCTTGATAAAAAATGATCTTTTGTAATTTTTTTCTCAACTACCATATTCTCCCAATGGTTAATAAAATTTAAATTCTCTCGAAGTACCTATACACATATAGATTAAATGCATCCCCTTTTTAAAAATTTGTTAGAATTACTTCAAAATCTTTACTTCCACTGATAATGCCTTCACCACTACGACGGCTGTTCAAAACATCGAATAAATTATTGATTCTCCTGGTAAATGAAATTGTACAATCGGCATTTTTAAGTCTATCACAACGCCTCTGATAATGGATGAGACCTTCGGCAACAGAATTACTAAAAATCTAAAACAAAAGGAAATTATGACATATACCTATCACTACCTAATAATATTGTAAAAGTATGTAGATATGTGAAATTGATACCTGAGTTGCAAGTTTTACTCTCATTTTCATAAAACCGTTTGGATTTATATGCATTTCGGTTATTTTTGGACACACTCTTGTGTTGTTACTTTGTGTTTGATCTAGTTGTAGTAGAATTTTATAATACTCCCAAAGTATTCCACCTTCAGGCGTCTAAAAATCATAATTTAGGTAGATATGGTATACATTTTCATAACAAATACATACTATTAGAGCGTTGTTGTTCAAAAATCGGTTTCTTATGCACTTTATAAGATGAGGGGTATCGGAGAAAAAATATAGGTCTCTTGAATCATCCACTGGATGAATAACTTTATTAGTTGTGTTGGACAACTTCCCTGAAATTCCAAATTCCTTCCACATCTTCCTATTTGTTGATGCACCATCACAAACCGTGCCATGAACTTCCGCTCCACAATTCTCCAATTTTTTTATAATTTCTAATACTAACTGTGCAAGGCAGCTTCCTTTCGTGGGACCCTTAGTAGCATACACTGCTATTGGTTGGGTAAAATTATCAGCTAATGATGACCACATAAATACTAAAGCATGGTCAGCCTGTTGGCCAGTGACTGTTTTTGATGTATTTTCATGTTCTGCGCCGAAATCTTCTGCTCCAATTAATTTAAGATTTTTTACATTTAGCTGAATATTAACGCGCACCGACATCTCATCAAATATCAACATACCTTGCCTTGCAAATTTATTTTTTTCTTGTATTTTCATCTTAAATGCTTGGAAAAATTCTTCGTCAAGTCCACATTTGAGTCTTACTCGCGACAAATATGTACGCACCGTTGACACAACGGGAAGAGGTACGATTTCATTTTTTCTTAAAAAAGCGTACGATTTTGGGCTTTTAATATGAAGAAGTAAACACATAAGTAACCAACTAGAAGAATAACGCCTAGACGTTTTCTTTTTGTACCTAGCCATCTTAATGCATTCCATCAGTAACATTTTTTGAGCGGAAGGTAAATTTTCCATCTGATCAATTTTTTTCTGCACTTCTTCTTCATTCAGGGTTTTCATTTTCGCTTTAGCTTCTTGTAACTCCTTCCTTGCTTGAATTAGTCTATAATGCAGTCTTCGTTCACGTTTACGACAGTTGGCTGAATTTTTCAAAAAGCGGTCTCGTCTCGACATGGTGACCTTTGTGACTTTTTTTTTTAAATAAGCGATTGCTTTTTTGGCATTTTTACACAAACAACAGTAGTTCACTCCTTTGAGTAAACGTTCATCGGTAGTATTCAACAGGTAACTACAATTTCCATGTCTCACGCTTTTAGAAAATTCATCTTTGTGATATCGTGTCCTGCTGAAGTCTATGCTATCTCCGATTATTATTATTAATCCGTAACATATAGGGAGTAGATCAAAATCAATCAACATTTTTTCAAAATCAGCAATCGAATTAATCTTACTATTTGAATCTTCAGTTAAACGGACATGCAAATGTTGAAAAATGAAGAAGTTTATAAAAGATTTACACAGCACAATTTTCTTTGAAATTACGATATCATTTTCTACATCTGTTTTAAAAAGTGCTATAATGTCTTTATGGAATTGTAAGGTCCACGACGCAGACGGCAAGGTAACGTTATTCTTCGACAAACTATCGAATATTGTGACTAACCAAGATTTATTATATTCTGAGTTATTGCCTTCGTATATCTTTTCAACTAAAAGGAAATTAGAAATCAGTGGAATAACTTAGGCAATGCAATTTAAGTTTTTAACATTCCCACAAATGATTAAAAGACCCATCAAAAAAGAAAAAATTGGCGAAAGCTTAACTTTGGACAGGGATTTTAAGTGCATTTTCAGTCATGTTTATATAAATATCAGACAAACGGGCATACGGACAGACATACGGGCTCCGTACTGCTCAATAACTCGCCGAGACCTATCTAACGGCACCTCAACCAAGCCTCTAGCACTTACCGTTCCGGAGATATAAAATATCGGACAGACAGACAGACAGACAGAGAGACAGACAGCAGACAGACATTCCGAGCCTAATAGTGCATTTCAGTTTTTTCTGAAAATGCACTAAAAACAGAACTCTGTTTCTGGGCAAGAATTTGACAAATACCTACCTTCATTGGCACCTAATTCATTATTTTTTTTACGTTTCAGGTCATATGTACATTCGCCTCGTTCGATTACCCTCCTTTTCTTTACCGGCTTTTTCGACAAATAGGTTGGACAATTAGGCCAAATAGATGGTACTGCATTTTCTCTCAAGCGCGGGATTTTCAGTGCATACTAAACAGAACAAAAATAACATTCCTACAGTAGGTAATTCATGGCGACCTGCGGAACTGGTATTTACTTCCTGAATTTAAAAAACTTACTGAATATGTTTCTGTGACGACTTCACGTATGACATCGTCTTTAAAAAAATGTTTTTCGCACAAAGCGTCATTAATCGTTAATTTTTTATCCGCTCGGGGAATACGTTGACTCCACTCTTCTAATTTGTTTTTAGGCACTTTAAATAAGGATACTTTCTCTGAACTTCCGCTATATCCACTGTGACATCCAGGTGCAAAACAATACCTTCGTGCCATTGTAAAAAGTTGCAAAAAAAGCCCATACACAAGTTTAAGGAAGTGCGACCGTATATCACTGGCGCAATGCAGTATAAATGCACAAGTGATTTCGCGCCAAGCTAGTTGTCTGTCTCTGTCGCTGCCTCTCCCTCGCACACAGACCACACTCAATCGCCGTTTGTTTGCACCGAAAACATAGCTCGCCGGATCACCTCTCTATATTATACATCCGTGATCCAAGCAAATGACTGTAAATCTTGTAGGAGAGAATGTAAGGAAAAAGGTAAGTAGATTAATCATTTTTAAAAATCAATAAATAATGTGTAGTAATTTTTTGTGTTTTAAAAAATTAAGTTGGGTAATTCATAACTCATTTCCATTTCAAATCGGATCTCTTTAAATTTGAATTGGCGCCGTTTTGCGCACAATATGGCGGTCCCTATAGGGTGTTTGAATGATTTTAAATACAAAACATGAGTGGGAAAAAATAAATGTACATGAATAAAATGACTATTAGTTAGGCAACAAAAAAGAATATAGGGTAACTGTCCCAGTAATGTACACTCGAGAGCAAATATCAATTTGAAAAATTCGCAAAAACGATTAGATTTTATTATAGTAAATGTGACATATGTCTAAATAAAGTAAATTTTATGCTCTTCCTTCTAGTATATGTTCAAACTTATAACTCGATAAGCTGAATTTGTATAAAATATTTTTTAAACAACTGTCAAATGTGCCAGTGGTGGACATACTATCGCTAATAATGAACATGTTTTGAGCCAATAATCGACACATTGCAAATTTTTATTTGTATTTAAGCATCGCAGGTACACTGTAGTGACCTCTCTGGTTTTTTTGTTTAGGATCTATAATATTACATACAATATCATCTTTAAAGTAATACAATATGTCGTGTTTGATGGGCCAATTCCACGAATCCATCCCTGCAGTCACCATCGATCTCGAATTTCTGTCCCTTTCTGGATCACTCTTCAAGATAATTCCTGAAAAAAGAAAGGCCAGTAAATGAACGTGGAATACGGCGATACTGTGTAATTTTCCGCGTCTCCACCGAATCGCATGAAAATTTGGATTTAGGTTCTACTTACCATCCACTTCAAAGTTGAACTTGAGCCCAGGGTTGCTTTTACTTGGGGGGTGAATGCCACCCCTTCTCGGGGGGGAAAAAAGATACGTTCAAAATAAGTCCGGAAATTGATAAATTGAGTAATTCTAAGCAACTTTTGTTCTATAGAGTTTTTTCACTAAGTCAATAGTATTAGAGTTATTTGCGAGTGAAAATGTTCATTTTTCAACAAAAAAACCACGTTTTCAGACGGTTTTTCGCAAACAACTCTAAAAGTAAGTATTGTATCGAAAAAAGTATTCTTAGCAAAAATATAGCTTATAAAAAACACAAACAAAATGGTCTATATATGAAGTCTGTAGACCCAGTAGAAACAAAGTTGTAGCTCATGAAAAGTAGGTTCTCATTCGTCAAATTCCAAATCGAGTACTTCAACGTGAAATAACCAAAAAATGAAGCACTTTTCGGGGAAAACGTATGAATACTTTTTTAAAGTGTTTGAAAAAACCTTTCATTTTGTTTTTAAGAAAAGTTCCTAGCATCAAAACTAAGTGAGTTACGCTCAAAATAAAGTTGGTCCTTTTTTTTTTGGTAAAAAAAATTGAGGAAATCACCCCATATAATTAGCACCCTAATTGTAATTAAGCGTTACCGCTTTACAGTTTACTTTATTTATGTATGCGTTGATATGATCTGTAAGTTTGACCGGAGCAAAGTGGTTAGTTTTGAAAAAAATGTAGTTTTGAAGTAAAAAAAAAATTTTGAAATTTTGAAAAATTGCCTTTTTTTGCCAAATAATTATTAGTGTATTAGTTTAGTTTACACAGTAGGCAATTTTTCAAAATTTCAAAATTTCGTTAATACTCGGGTCGCTCGTAAAGTCGCAAAAAAAGGTTTAACCTTGTTACGTATGTGGTTAAAGTGAGAGGGAGTTGTTTAATAAAACTGCCATTGAGGATGCTCTGTATAATTAGGAATGAATATCAAACGGAATACAAGAACAAGATATATATTACATTGAACAATAGCGTTAAATGCACGTAGCGATTCCAAGCGCTAGGTATCATTTTGGTTCAATGCGTAGTAGCGGTTGGTATCGATACAGGGAAATTTGGAGCGTAAAAATTGTATGCTACTTTTTGAGCGGTATTAAAAAACATAACATCAAATGTATCGCGAAGGAGTAAACATTTATCTACTTCCCCGAAATTTAACAAGTAAGTATTACATAACTTTATTAAAATGCACTATTATAAGTTCTACATGCAATCTTTACAGCCGGTATGCTTGAATATGTTCAATTCGAGGATGACGATCGTGAAATTGAGGGTCAAAGCCATGACAGCCCTCAAAATCATGATGATGATCTGGGTAACGATGTTGCAAGAAATAAATTTGATCACCGAGGTTCATTATTGTTGCTGGAGCTCTATAGAGACCGATTACCAAAATTTAGGAATAAAATCATTAAAAACAAACAGTTATGGATAGACATTTCGAACGAAATAGAGCAGCATGGATAGAATTTATCCTACGATGAATGCGATAGGAAATGGAGAAATCTCAAAAAACATTACTTAGCCATGAAAGATAATAATACAAAAACAGGCCGTGGAAGACAGACCTGGCCATATTGTGACCAAATCGAAGAAATGTTAGCAGCTGATGTTAGTATAAATCCATCAAGCTTACT